CGCCACACCCTTCTGACGCACCACGCCCTGTTTGCCCGGTTGTTCGTGCAGATGTACCCAAGACAGCTTTAAATGACACAGTTCTTGTCCATAGCTCTCAGTAAGTACAAAAGAGGCTTCAAGACCTTCACAGGCTTTGCCAGCACCCTGACTATGGTGGAAAAGCAGCAACAGACCTTAGAGTGGAGGTTATCTTAGCTGGCTAATTTAACTTAGCTCAGACCTGTGTAAGAGTGAAAGTCTTAACTCCTAAGTGAAGAGCTCTACAACCACTTATGTTATGGGGCTTACTAACTGTATTTCAGCTAAACTAATTCTAGCAAAAATATATATAATATTTCTAGGACAAGTCATTTCATAATTTTCTCCAAAAACACTGGGTGCCTTAGTATGCTAGAAGACCCTATCTGAAATCCTGTAGAAATCTATGTGTTTATGTTCTCTGGAACAGGGACTGAATCTTCAAACTGGACATGTGTGAAAAAATATGTACCCAGCTTTCTTACACAATCAAATGAAAAAAAAAAAATTCCTAAAGTTACCAAAGTTTGAAGAGTAAGACAAATAATGAAGCATAAGGAAATTCCAAGAAAAACTAGCACAATGTGTTCAGGGATTTTGAACATGATGTGTCTAGCCAACTGTTAACTCCATAGGATTGGAAAGAAAATGTAATTTAGTACAAAAACGTGAAGTTATAATCTGACAAATCCATTTAAAATAGCCAATCAGATACTTACAAATCCATACTCCAAGTCCCAGCACCAGCAGTAATTGAAAAACCTAACAAAAACAGCTCTCAAGAAATCGCCAATTAGAATTGTGATGTATGTTGTCATCGTGTCAGAGACTGTCAGGCGCACAAATTCCTGTAAGAGCAATATTTTATTTTAAGAATATATTTAAGTAATTAATAATTATAATAATAACTAAATACTGGACTAGATTCCTGATTATGCTTACCCTACCTCAATATGGAAAAGACTGCTCCTCCTCTACATTCACCAATTCTGAAAAATGCCAGAAGAAAAACTGTCCCTTGTTTGCTAGAGATATTCTTTGTTCTAATTTGTGCTTATATTACCAAATGAGACTTCCAGGGCATTATTAGATTGAGAAAGGCTTCCAGCCAAGACTACTGCTATAACAGAAATCTGAAGTGATCTTAATCTGCTTTTGATCCTTTTGACTTTGGAAATTAAAAAAAAAAAAATTTTTTTTTTTTTAAGTGAATGGGTTTCTTTCTAAGGACCACCAACTCCTAGTGAATTTGGAGAGGAAAAAAGGCAAACCTAATGGAAATCCTCATTCTTCTATTTTTATTTTAGTAAGTCCCACTAAACCATTCTGTAACAGGCCTTAACCCACTATCCCAAAACGTTATTACTCTCCCTGTTTTGAAATTAAGGAGAACATTAGTGCAATTATGAGCTTTGGGTATTCTTAACTTAGTATTCAGATTCAGTGAAAACTATAGAAGGGCTGTTTTTCCTGCCTGAATACTCCCTGCTGGTGATTTATTCAGTCAGGAGTCGAGATAACCATATGGGTGAAATTGTCAGAGTGATAGAATAACAGCGAAAGTTGTGATTCAGTGGTGAATTCATTCTCAAGCACAAATCAACAACAATGGGGTATGCTCAAACAAGGGAAAGGGGGATGTTAGAAAATTCTTTAGAAAATGCATTTTATATTAATAGGTCATTAAGAACAAATGTTCAGCTGAATAAAATAAAGTGATTGAGCAGATTTACCATTAAAACATGATTGTTCTTTTGCATTATGTTACTTCATTAAAGATAGAGATGCCTTCTCAAAAGCACATTCCTTTAAGAGTTATCACATATTTCCTTGTTGAGTTACTCTTTATGTCTTTTCTATAGCTCTGTTGTAGTCAGAAAATTATTTTGGTTGTTAAAAATTCTAGTGAGAATTACCACATTTATTAGGAGTTGTAATGAATCCCACTTTTCAAAATTGCTAAACAGGTTTTGCAGAGAGAAAGATAAATTAAGAGAATAGTGAAAAGTAGGGGGAAAAAATAAATGCTTTCAATGCTATCAACTACCAGAAGAAACAATTCAATACTAAACAGAGTCTAAAGAAACTCAAATATTTTTACTCAACTTTTTAGCTCAGAGTCCCATATTTGATTTTCCTCACATTTGCCCAACTTAGTGCCACTTACTAGCAGAAATAAAGTAGCTTTAGATATATCTCGTAACAGACTATGACCTATTTTCAAATATCAGCTCAAAGCAGTTACATTACCTGTCCTACCATTGTTTCCCAGCATGGCCCTCTAGGGACATCTGCAGGGTCCACCTGTATTGGAGGAGCAGTCGAATTTTCTGGGATAGTACCATTGTACAGACTGGCTTCCCATATTGTCATGTTATACTTGACTATCTTTTCTTCTTCCAACTACGTAAAGAAATAAATTGGAGAAAAAAATCTAAAATGAGCTTGTTACCAACTTTCAACCTTTTCTACTGCAAGACTCCCATTACCAGCTCAGGCACAGATGTGATTTACAGTACAGTAAGAAAATAATGTCTTTCACTGACATGTCTATGGCTGGCTAGAAATCTTCATCCTTGCCCAGCTACATGTTAAAAATAATGAAAGGAAGTAAATAGCTTGCCTTGAGATTGATTTCGTCCATTAAGGCAATAATGAAAGTGTAGAGATTTCCAAGAAAAAGAGCAAAGATTCGTCCCAGCTGCCATCTTAGAGCTATTCGGGGGTGGTAGTTTTCCAGAGAACTAATTACATCAAATAAAGTTGGGCAGAACATTCCTAAAAGTGACATAACCATATTCACCTGAGAAGGAGAAAAAGGGAAAAAAGAAAAAAAAAATGTTAACAGCAAGTTATTTTATTATTATTGATTTGGGTGGAGGGTGCATTTGTATTACTACTTTTAGTTTTTTATTTAATGAAAAACAGAATCCATTCTAGGAATTACAAGATGTTTTCACAAAAGAAGAAAGGCCTGAATAGTCAGTTGTAATCTACTGCAGATGGATAGATATGAACTTTTTTTACTTTTCACTTAAACCTCCAAAATAACCAATTGTTAGTTATTCTGACTAGAATCTACATTTTAATCAAAATTCTACAGTCAGAGAACTTAGCAAGATCTATTTCCAGTAGAGTTTTATGCAACATCTCTGCACACAGTGTTTGAGGTGGGCCCATACCAGTGCAGTGTAGAGTGGGACAGTTACTTCAGTCAACCATGGGTATGCTGTGCTTGATGCAACTTTGGACATGGTTGGCCCTTTTGGTTGGCAGAACAGAGTGTTGACTTATATTCAACTTGCCATCAACCAAAACCCCCAGATCTCTTTCTGTGGAGCCACTCTCCAGCCTCTTATGCCTTAGTTTGTAGGTACAACCAGGATTACTTAGGTGGAGAATCTGACCCTTGCTATTGTTAAATTTCATACAGTTGGTGATTGCTAAGCTCTCCAGTCTGTCTCAGATCTCAAGTCCTCACTTCATAAGCAAATTATAATCAACCCACTCCTTTCTGCTTGATTTTCTTAGAAACCTCTAATAAGATTAACTCATCATCTTAGCAGTATGGAAACTGAACAAGTTTCCTGAAAGTAAACTGAGAAAAACAGATAACTAGTTTTTATACAAAGTTTGAAATACAACATAGCTTGTAAGTTCTACAGACAGATGAGATATTCTAGTAATGTAACATTTCCAAATGATTGCTGAAAATTATTTCAAGTCTGCGTGAACCTTTTGATTTTAATTTATTATGTCAGCAAATAATGAAAATAATTGAAAAAGTTTAAGAGTGCAGTTATTCAATTTCAATTTAAAATAAAATTTCATTACAAAAAGTGTGTCTTTATGGTACTAAAAGAAGCCAAATAAGAAAAATTAAGAAAAAATATTTTATTTCGTCAAAAAAAATTAATTTTTCACACAACTTTAGTCTTCCAGTTGCTCTGAAACTAGCATTTCTCAGCCATGCTGAAATCCATTTTGCTAGAACTATTATAAACTTTAATAAATTTCTAACTTTCTGCTACCAAAAGAGTTAGGACTGCTCTTGCTTTTTTAAAAAAAATGTATAACAGCAGAAAGGCATTATGCCAACAAATAAACTCACTCACTTACAAATATATACATTTCCATTCTTAAAAAGTTTCATCCTTGAGACTGATATTCTTAATGAAAAGAATTAAATTACTTTTTCTCCTTTTTTTCTATTCTTGTTTTTTAATGAGTTCTAGAGCTAATTACTGGATTTTTGCATTTGTAGGCAATCAGTAGTGCATTCTGTTAATGGCTTGTGACACCGTGTAAGAACTATGGAGATTCTTTTAAAGAATTACAGGAATTCACTGATGTTTCCTCTGTTTTTAGATACCATTATTTGTAACTGGAATTACTTTGTTAAAATAAGAAGTCACTGTTACCTCATAACACTCAAAAAAGAAAAAAACATCTAAAACCTAGTAGCTATCATCTCTTGCAGCACTTGGGATTATAACTGAAAAAGGCAGAATTTATATTTAAATCTCCTGCCACTTTTTACCTTGTTATATTAACAGTTATGTTCGGTTTCATGCATTAATTCATTGAATACATTTTCTCTTCTGAGAATAGATATTCCTAGTTTTTGGTACTTCTAAAAGGTGATAAGGTGTTAATGATCAAAATATTGGTTATTTTTTCTTCATAATGAACTGTGTAAAACTTTTTATCTTAAAGTCTTCAAAGTATCTAATGTAATTTATAACACATATTGCCTCAGTCACCATTAAACCAAAGATTTTATGCCTATTATGGCCCAAAATGGCAAAGCTGCAGGAATTAACCACAGCCAAAATGATCAATCATGAATTCTTAAAATTCAAACTTACATTAACAGGCTGCATATTCTGTTTATCAGTAGAAATATTCAGTCCTATTGTGATCCTGCTGAAAAAAAAATGACTCTGTTGTCTCATATTCTCCTGTGGCAACTAGTTCCAGGGGTAAATGTCTGCATAAGAGGAGACGTCGCCAGTCACCCCAAAGGTTGGCCTAGCCCAACAGACGCCCAGGATGAACAAGAGCAAGGCAAACATGTATGAACAATAAGTCCTAGACTCCAATTACATTCAGTTTGGGTACTTGTTCAGTCAGATGTTGTTTTTACATATTTAGTAACCCCTAGAGGATTTCTCTTTCATGCCTTAGATTAGTTTTCCTTCAGATGGATGTAAACTGTGGCATTCATAGCCACATCTACCATTCCTTCCCTTTTGCTTTTCCTGCACCTTGCTTCTATTTAATTCCTTTGACGTCCCTTAGTTCTCCTACTGGAAGACATAGTGAATATGTATTTTTGGAAGAAAAAGTATGTCCTTTAGGCAGTTTTAAATATAGTAACTTAACTTTATTAAAAGTTTCCTTACTGCAAGACAGGAGTCATTGTTTTTCTTTCTCTTGTTTTCTATATTTTTATTCTATTCTGCCTTTTTTTTACTATTTATATGAAGCAAGCATATTCTTCTTATTTACTTTCTATCTGCATTTTTCCATGCCTTGACTATTCAAGCTCCTCATCTCAAGAGTGCTTCTAATTCTGGAGAAAAGATAAGAGGTGAAATGAGGCACAGAAACTTGCCAAGCTGAAAAGTGAAAAATTATTACAATCAAAAATGCAATGTTTTACTGGGACAAAATGTAGCTGATTGAGTTTTCAAAATCAAAAAACTATGATAGGTTCTATATTTCAAAAGCATAAACATTTCTCATGTATTTTCATAGATATGTTATCATTATACATCTTAGTTTCTTGTGAAGGAATTTGCTGAACAAAGAAATAGTCCATTGAATCATCCATTGAATTTTAGCTGCTTTAATCTAGTTTGATTTCAGAAAGGAGCTGATTTCTATTCTATCAATTATATTCAGGTGGTGGATCATATTTTTTTTTACTGTTTTTATCAGTGTCAGTTTCACTGCTCTATATGACTTAAAAATTGTGGAATGATATGCCAGAAGAGGGGTAGCATGCCAGTATGCGTACATGGTAGAGTTAAGGTTGATAACCAACATGGTTCTATATTCAAGTAGCTGCTGAGTGAAGCACAAAAGCCCTCTCTGCCCTACTCAGACAGAATTTTCCTTAAGAAAGCAATAACAACCAAGAGGCATCCACTAATTATTATTAAAACTCTGGTTCAAAACACATTTTTTTATCTCTGTGACATTAAGGACTACAGTTTCTAAGTCCCTGCATGACACTCTGAAAGCCAGAAAAGTACTGCTTACTCAAGGTTTTCCAGCTGCTATGAATCTGGTAAGAAATCCTGTGACTGCAATCACATCTAAACAACACAGTTTTAAATATTGAACATTGACTGCTTGTTGGTTAAATGGTAAATTCATTATGAGTAAGTAGTTTAGCTAAAATAAATCATAGCTTCCTCTAACAATTATTGCAGTAGCCATAAATTTGTCTAGCATATACTGCAGAAAGCACTAATAAAGACCTATTTTTCTAGTAAATATTGTTTCATTTTTAAAAAATAAATTAGAATTAGAAATTACATTTCATACTACTAAAAGCTGACTGATAATTTCTAGAATTAAAGAAAGCATTGACAACATGGCTTAATAACTTCAATATAAATCTACTTCATATCCACTACTAGGAAAATTAAAGTAAATAGCAGGGTATTTTTGGTAAAATATCTATGGGGTTGCTTCAGCTTGCAAGATCAGAAATGTTAAATCCATACTTTTTGTTGCTGGAAAAAAAAAATCAATATATGAAACTTATCTCCTCCTGGCCCAAATGTTGTTCTCTGATTCAGAGAAATCAACCTGTTTCCTCATAAGTTTTCTCTGCTTTTAAGGAGCTTTATTTAAACTTTACAGGAATGTATTTGAGAAAATGGTGCCTCAATACCGAAGAGGTACTCATAATACTTTCTAGGTTTAAAAACCTTTTTCTATCAAATGAGAAAAGTCAATTTTCTTCAGCAATTTTCATCCAATTTCAGAACACACTACCAAGGGAATCAGTGGTATTATTCTCCACTTCAGCAAAATTTCCAGAGTCATGAGGAAATAGTCACATGGTGCAGAATCATCATTGATCTATGACTAACCACCAGGCCATAGCCATGTATGAGGGGCAAAGCAAATTATGACAGAATCCCTCAACAGTCTCAGTCTGCCTGTTTACACTAATTTCCTAAACTCTGTGACACACTAGACATTTTCTCTGAACTTCTTAAGCTGTGGATATCTCCTCCTTGGAATCACTAAAGGCTGGGTTGGATGTGGCTTTAAGCAACCTGGTCTAGTGGAAGTTGTCCTTTCTCATGATCTTTAAGATTATATGACCTGTGACCTGACAGAAGTGGGTACTCCCAGTATGAAGAGGGAGTCTGGAAATTTAAGTTTTGACAGAGAAGGATAGTCAGAGAGAAAAAGGTGTTCTCCACAAAGTCCACAGTGGCACTTTCTTAGGCTGTGACCTTCCAGAACAGATGATATAAAATGTATTTGCCCTGGATTTCTCAAAGAACATCATAATTATGTGTAAACATTTTTTAATCCATTACTACATCCACTGTGATGAAATTACTTACAAAAGTATCTTAATATTTTTCTGAAAAATGTAAATGTTATATCCTGATGGTTGAATTTTATGTGAGTTGCATTTTCATTTGCTCTAAGTAGTATATTAAGTGTTTATGAGGTTTTTTCCTGATCAAAAATCTCAATTCATTTATCAATGATACAAACATAAAAGAGCTTGATCTAGAAAATAAGAAAAATGTTTAAATGGCTGTTATATAGAAGCCAAATATATTTATGTAATTAAATATTACTATCCAATCAAGTGTAATATTTCGTACCTCACTGATATGTCCATTACATGTCAATAAGAAAAATTCTTTAGCTAAATAACGGCAATGCTGCACACTGCACACTCCTTCAGAGACACGCGTGCTTCAGATCTTTGTTATGTAATACAGTCTCCTTACCAGTATTTTTTTGTAAGGCAAACAGAAGTAAAACAATGAATGCAAACATGCATATGTTTAACTGCTTTCCAGTTTGCAGCTAATATAACAGCTTTCAGTAGCACAGTACTTGTTAGTACAAATCTGTTACCATACCTTTCAAGTGAGAGAAAACTGAAGTCCTCCTGAACTGCTAGTCTATTGTCACACTTAGAGCTCATGTTGCTTTAAGCCAAGCAGGTTTGTACATTACTTTTTTCCCTATCAGATCTAAAGGTAATAACTTTTGTCAAGTAACTTAGCCCAATTTCAACAGCCCTATTTCTCTGGATTTCAGAGGTGGATTGATGGAGCTTTTTATGTTACTTTCTTAGTCAGGTTTTGGTGCTGAAAATTAGGGATTGACTTTCCTCGTTCCGTTGTCACGCATCCCAGCAGCTTTGTGAGGCTAGCATCTTTCGTCTTACCTTAAATCAGGAATCTGCTTTACACTCCAGCTCAGAAGATGAGCTTCTAGTAACAAAAAGCTAGTTTTACAACATACGCAACAGTGTATTTGCTAAGAAAGTAAAACCTGTCCAGGTTTTCATATAGCAACACTGACTTTAGGTGCTTACAGCACAATGTTAGGAAACACAATTACTTTCACTGTACGCCTCTGTCAGGCAAGGCTGAATCTGCTTTAGAAGAAAGCAGATTAAGCAAAACAAAAAGGCATTGGTTGCTTGGCCTGGGCAGCTGGAACTAGACAGCATGAGTTTGTTGCTACACTGCAGAGTTGTATCCATGAAGCCCCAAATAACTTTGGATATGCCCACACACTAGCCACTTTATTTGGCCAGTCTCAGAAGGAAAGCAAAGGAGAGCAGGCCCCTTGAAGAGACCTCGTGAGTGAAAAGAGCACAGAGGAGTAAAGGCAAAGGCCTCAAATAAAATCAAAGTACAAAGAGACATTTGAAAGAACCAGCCAAGGAATAGTAATTTTAATGAAGCAGGAAACAGAGAGACAAGAACAATTCCTTTGTTAGACATTTACCACCCACACTCAGAGCACTTAAATTCTCAGGATAAAAAGGCAACATGCAAAGTGGAGGAACACAGTTGCAAACCACATCTATTTTAGAAATGCACTAGCACGAACTTCATTTCTTTCCCACCACCCGTAGTTCTCCAGACCTTCCAGGGCAAATTTCTGGGATCTTCTGACAACAAAAAAGATGAGGTAGCCACTCCCAGCAAGTGTGCATAGGGCTAAGAAATTAGCAAGAACCCTCAGGAATCTAGTCAAGTGAATATTTTCCTCTTTTCGGCTTTCCTGCTCCTCCACGATAGCTTCCTGCATTTGTTAGAAAGAAAATAATATTATGAGTACTTTAATGGTCAAGACGCCACATTGCTTCCCCAGTTGTTAAAAGTCATTTAAATAAATTACAAAGATGTGAATATACATCTGGGCATCATGTTTTAAGATGAGATTAAATTGTCTCATAAAATCTATTTTAGACAGACCCTGGATTTTTGGCTCCCTAAAGTTCATTTTGCTTCCATTGAGTGACCCCCCACTGAGTCTCATTACACCTGCACTTGTGTGCCAAAAAGAAACCAGTATGTTCTGTCAGCTTGCAAGGTGTTATGAGGCTGAGTGACCCAGAAGGATAAATGTGTGATTAGTTGCCAGAAAAGGAACTGTCATACTTTAAAAATGCACATTTGTGAGAAAAGAGCAAGAAGTTTTATTCTGAAAGCCAGCAATTCAGAAGGAAAGAAAAGACAGTTTAGATGTAGAAGTCCTCCCCAAAAAAGCAAACAGTGGACAGCTTCAGACTGCAGAATAAAACATTTGCCACACATTTACCCTTGGCAAGGACTGATAAATTTTATGACTCTGGTGTAACTATAATCTCCAGCTCTTACTTTTGCCAGCAGAAAGGGCTTTTGCTCTGAAGTGTCCTCATGAAAAGGGAGTTTGGTTACAGCTTTGGTATAGAGATCAGTTGCCCAGAGGGGAAGCTGAACTCCTGCATTATAATAATTACTCTACATGTCTCTGCTTTTTTTACAGCTTGTGTTTGTTACATAAATGAAAGGAGATTGAAGGAGCTCTTGAGGAAAACTCCCATGACATCACCTAAGCCAACACTTCACCCTTTCTCTCTGAGGTTCTTTTCTCATATGCAAAGATCACAGTAAAGCTTCATGAGTTTGTTTCTCAAAAATAAGTTTCTGTCTCAACTGATTTGTATCCTTCTCCAAATAGCTTTCAGCAAATGACCTTAATAGGCGGTCAGGGAAAGCTCACAGAGTTTCAGTGCTTTCAGTCAGTATTTCTTCAATATTTGTTTTCCTGGGATCTTTTCTCTCTGCTGACTTTGAATGCAGTTATCTTTTATGCCTGGAGCTGGGATGGTGACCAGGGGGAGTTGCTATATTGGCTATATCATCACTGCAGAATGGATGGGTGTTGTGTGTGATTGGAAAGTGTGGCTGGTGCTTGGTCCTCCAGCTCCCATGCTGTATGTTGTCAGTGTGACTGCAAGTCTAGCATCTTGTTCACTGTATTCCATTGAAAATTAAATTTTCCTTTACATGCTGCACTGGTGTGTCCCAGTGACCCCAGTGTAGAAACACATTCTTTAACACTGAACAGGTAGGATATACCCTCTTCACTGTTTTCACTGTGGTACATCTCGCATCCTGCCCCAGATTCCTCACACAATGAATCTTGAAATCAACATACCCTATAAACTGAAAAGAGGTGTAAGAACACCTTGCATTTACTTGCAAACTGAGCTATATTTCATAATTAATTTGACAATAAAAATATATATTATGAAAGGAAAGTAACCTTTTTTTTCTTGCTGAAAAACAAGCATACATTCAAAATTCTGGGGCCAATTCTTCTGACATGATTAATAGCCCTTTATAGCTGATCCTATTGCTTTATCCTATGGTATCTCTTCAGTGTAGTGAAAGAAGATGATAATGTGAGATTGGCAAAATATCACCAACATTTAAAAAAAAAAAAAGAAATTCAGACAAGCACCATAGAAACTGGAAGTCAACAGAGATGAGAAAATGGAAAATATTATTTTTACAGTAGAATATTTTTTCTAAAATGAGTACTGCAACCACAGACAACACAATAGATGCCATTAATGCTTTTTTCTTCAACAATCAAAAGGAAAAAGTTAAGATGGCAAGGCACAAAGACCTAGACTCAGAAGTGTACAGAGCTGCCCAATTCTCATTTAAGCTTCTAGGCCCCTGGCACAGCTAACATTTGCTCTTAGATCCTTCTGACTCACACCAGTGTGAAAGACAAATCAAGTTATCTCTCTTTAGTGAGCTCTATTTTACCTTGAAGCTTGTTGTGATGGAGGCGAACTTATTGTCTGCTGTCTCGGGATTGCCAATCAGGTAGTCCCAGCTTGTGAACATTTTCCAGCTGAAATTAAAACTAGTATCATCCCCACCACCTTCTTCATTTGCATTCCTTGCCATTCTACAAAAGCCAGAAAGACACAGGAAGACCTCGTTAAAACTAGTTCTGCTATGTGAGCATGATTTTTAAATTGTTCCAAAAAAACCCCTATAATTGCAGTCAGTCATGTTATACCAAACCTGTAAAGTTCAGTCTGAAACAAGAGAGAAGGACTGAGATTTTAATATTTATACAATTTATGAGCTCACAATACACATTTCATTAACACCTCAGAGAAACTCAGTAGAAAAACAATATCAAGATCTCTCAAGTAGAAAACTGTAGAGCACCCTGAACTGCAATAGATTTGATTAGAGAATTCACAAAGAGAAAAAAAGAATTCTAAAACAACAAGCCAGAGCAAAATCTGGTTATACCGTACAGAAGTATCACTGATACAGCTTTCTATTTTCCCTTTCATCTTCTATGTATTTATAAACAAGATTTATAACAGAATCTACAAATACCAGATTGTTTCTTCAGTGATATGATTTAATCTTGGCTACTAACTTCTCTATTGCAAAGTGGTGTCATTCATGCAATAATAGTAGTCTTGATTCTGCATACTTTATCACAATTTAAACCATTAAGCACAAGGATGGAGTAGGGTACAAACCATTTAGTAGGACAGTAGAGTACAAAGCATTTAGTCTTCTGTATTGTATTGTTTTATTGGTTAGAGAAAGACAATGCCTATTTTAAATTTCACTAATGCAGCAAAGTTATGTTACTAATATCAATGCATTCTACATATCACATGTTTAACTATCCAATAAAATATATACTCTCAAATCTAGGAAGAGAATAGTAAGTAAATAATACAGAAAATATTTCCAAGCTGTCATAAACCAATAACCAATACAAGGGTTGGGATTATTTTGTTTGTTTTACTGCTCATATACAGAAGGGACAGAGATCAAGAAAGGTTCTTGGTAGGATTGGTCCTGCTGTTGGTTTCTAGACTAAGATATTTCCTTCTCAATAGTTCCTAATGAAATAGTGAACAGTCTTGTGGTTGGAATATAATTTCTTTGAGACCAGAAATGTTTCCATTTTATGTTGTGCACTGGAAGATCTGTGGGAAGATAAGCCCTAAATATTTTCCATAACCAGAATAGTAGTGTTTAGAATCCTCACAACCTCTTTCACATAGACATTCCCTTTCATAGATCTCAGTAAACAGCAGAGAAAAGGTAGCAACTCTTGTTACACTCCTTTTAGTTCCTGTGCCCACTGTGTTGTCTTCTGGATAAACAGCAAAGAGCAGAAGACTGGAAGAACTACTCATGAGATTACTGAAATATTGATCAGCATTTGTGTCATGTGGCCAGATGGGAAGTTAGTACCTACAATGTATTTCTTCCATAAGGATATTCCTTTGTTTGGGCCTCAGGGATTTTCTGCTAAAATATTTTTTTTATTATTATTTTTTTTGTCTGGGTGGCATTTATAGGAATACAATTGTCTGAGGCTGACTTTTCTAGTCTTCACAGCTACATTTTAAAAAATATTTTAATGTATTTTTTCAAGCTAAACTAATTACTTTTTTATTGTAGTAGTATATAGCTATGTTCCTCTTCCAAAAATACATATGTGTAAGTTGAAGACTTTTTTTTTTCTTTTTTTCTGAAATGCTTCTTGCCCTGTGCAGGAAACTGCGTAATATTTGAAAAACAGAACATGAATTAATTTAGTGCTCATGCAAGGGAAAAATACTGGCTTCAGCACAAAACCATGGAAATAGATTAACTGCAGTTTTCTCTATATTCACAAGTGTCCTTGAATCTTGACATGCAATGCTCTGATTTTTTTCAACCAAAGGCATCATTTAAAGCCACCACTATAGCTAACTATATTATTGTAGTAGGTGGTCACCTTGCTTGAAGCAAGATTAAAGATTATATTCATTAGCAGCCTATCTCCTTAGAAACTATCAGAATTATCACAGTTCATTCCGATAGTGAATTTGGCTATAGAATAATAATTTTATTTCATTTAAATTCTGATCCTAAGACAAGATTCAAGTCCAGAATCTGAGAGCTAAAAAGCTAACATATTGCCAGTTGTACTGCCTAGTCCGTGTTTCACTTATCCCTATGCTTCCTACTTTTTTAACATTATGTTGTTAGCATTATATTAAGCATAGTTCTCACAGTACCTGGGATCATCTTGCATTCCACAGGATATTAAACCTTTACTATGGCCAGTAACATTAATTATTCTATACCACTGTGCAAATGTGACCTTACCACTATCATCTCTCTGAGAATCATTTACGGCTGGCTGTGAGTTACACACAGAATTATTTGTCATGTGTTTCTTTATTTCTTGTCTTCTTCCTTCTTTGAACAATTTGACTCACATAAGGTTATCATTAAAGGTAGAACAATTGAATTTGCTGGATGTTAGCTTACATACTGCTAGATGCAGAATATTATGAAAAGACGGTTTGATAGCTTTGTTCCTTACTTTACGCATTCATTTTTCACTTTGAAGCTGCAGGACGGAAGTGTTATGTTACTTTGGCAAAGATTTTTCCCATTTCCATGATACTGCAACAAAGCTGTTGGTACAGAACAGTAGGTAACTAAACACAGGCTGAAGGAATCTTATATATATTTGACCTTACACTTGATCTTGCATTGTACTGCCCTTACAATTAGCATATTTTAAAAAACATAGTCAACAGTGGAATTGTCTGCCTTTTTGAATGCATTTTATTCCAGAGTAGAGGAGAACTTACGTTCGAATGACAATCATAAAGCTGTAGCCAATAGTCCCAACTCCAACAAGGAAATACGAAAGAGGCATCCTGAACTTGAGCCATCCAATTGTCCTCTGGTTATTGTAATAACCATAAAAGAGTACAGAATACTGTGCAAAGCCCTGAAAAGTCAGCAAAAATTATGTCACGTCTGTTGAATATGCACATAATCAGATCTTGTACCAATAGCAATGTACTGAAACATTCATTTCAATGTATTCAAAGCAGTCATAAGCATCACTATAATAAGTTTCACAGGATGGAAAATCTCTCATTTGAAAATACTTAGAGCATTTCATATCAATGTTCAAATCTTTTATCTTTAAAACTCTTCACGAACACACCATCTACTATTTAATCAGTCAAAACTTTTTAATTTGCATACTTCTTGTAAAGCCAAAAACATTTTGGTTTACAAAATTTGTTTTACAAAATTATTGCAAATAAAATGTCAGATGTTTGACCTAATTTTCACATTTCTAAATTTTACTTGAATAGCCTATTTTATATAAAATTCCCATACGCTTTCTTTATCTAGCAATGTTGTCTTCTGCTCATGGGGTGATAATTTAATATACATTTACTAACATTTAGCTACATTTTATGGATGATTATTCAGTATATGAGGTTTTTTAACACTTAGACTCCAAGTCTGTGAAACCTGCGATACAAGTTTTCCTTGTCTCAGCAGTTCAAAGTGTTCTAAAAATCTTAATAAGAATTATCCTCTCTTCTATGGGTTGCATTTCTGATTTTTCAAAATTATTTACTAGTACATGATTAATTGTAAGCAATTGCTGGTATCTTAAATGATACAAATATCTAAAACTTCCTGATAATCCTCAGGTTAGAGGAAGAACTCATCTCCTACAAGAAGACTGTAACCATATCTTTTACAAGGACAGCTCTGCACATGCACAGCCATGGCGAAGTTCCAGCTGGATATAATGATTTTAAGTCAAATAGAGTATTTGACTGTGTAACTGGGTGTTCTTTTGACACTAACACAGTAAGCTGAAGCTTTTATGAATTAAAAAAGCCATTTACTTCCCTTCTACTTTTTGGTTTCTCATTTTACTTAAAAACATCTTTCTCATATATATTTTTGCAAAAGATACATTTAATTTATTGTAGATCTTATTATATATGAAATGAGTCATAGTGTTATCTGGAAAAACCTAATTCACAATACTAAGCTGAAAATGAAATATTAATATATAATAAACAAATATTATTCAAAATGTCTTGATTTGGTAATCAACGTATCTCATTCTTCTTCATGTCAGACTAGCTTTGAGGGATGTGCCTACACATAGCAGATAATGATATGTTCATCCCTGGTAAGGGAAATAATAGCCTTATAGAATACATTTATTACTAATTACTGGTAAAATGTACATCAGTAAAGACACTTTCAAATTCAGTAGTATGCCTGTTGCAGTTTTTTGCTTATTAAAACATTCTATAATTTCACCTTAGCCCAGGTTTCAATACAGCCTAACACGGCTCTGGAGAGCCTTTTGGATTCTTCAAAGTAATAAGTTGTTTTTTAAGTCACTGTGTTCTGCAAAGTCAGAGATAATTCCTCCACTGTTTATCATTCAGTATGTTATTTCCTGGGCTTTGCTGGCTGCATTTCACCATGAGACTTGAAATATCTTTAGCTGTGTAAAGGTAGGCATGCATTGATGATCACTTCCACTCTTTTCTGAGCCTAACATAAAAGAAGAGTGAGATGAGAATATTGGTCAAATGCTTTATTGAAGTGAGACTTGAAGATTTGGATTGTTATCTGAACTGTAAAATATACAATGTTAAAACTGAATTCCAAGTAAAAAACCTAAAACTGTTTCTCTTTGTTGTGTACTAAAATTAGCACAATTTCAAGTGCAAAAAAAAGCAAAAGGATATGTTAAGCTGATCTTTTCTTTACTGTTTTTAAGACTGGTGAAGGGTTTTTTAGAACAAAACAATGTTTGCTGGTTCACAGAATCACAGAATCACAGAATGGTAGGGTTGGAAGGGACTTCTGGAGATCAGCTAGTCCAACCCCCCTGCCAAAGCAGGTTCACCTACAGCAGCTTGCACAGGAAAGCATCCAGGGGGGTTTTGAACATCACCAGAGATGGAGACTCCACAACCTCTCTGGGCAACCTGTTCCAGTGCTCCGTCACCCTCACAGTAAAGAAGTTTTTCCTCATGTTTAAGCAGAACTTCCTGTGTTCCAGCCTGTGCTCATTGCCCTTTGTCCTGTCATTGGCCAACACTGAAAAGTCTGGCCCTGTGTCAAAAGTCTGGCCTTTTGACACCTTTCCTTTAGATATTTACAAACATTGATAAGGTCCCCTCTCAGTCTTCTCTTCTCTAGGCTAAAGAGATGCAGCTCTCTCAGTCTTTCCTTGTAAAAAAGATGCTACAGCCTCTTAATCATCTTCATAGCCCTTCACTGGACTCTCTCCAGAAGTTCGCTATCTCTCTTGAACTGGTGGGCCCAGAACTGGACACAGTACTCCAGATGCGGCTTCACCAGGGCAGAGCAGAGGGGAAGGATCACTTG